CTGGGCACTCCCAGAGCTGGGAAAGGCTGTCTCACCTGGCCTTGGGCCCTGTCTGGACTCTGCTCCTCCCTCAGGCCAGCATCACCTGTCCGTCCTCTTGGGTCTTCCTGACCCTCCGAGGCCTGTGTGTACTCGGCCGACGCTTTCTATCACAGGTAACTCAAGCCTGCGCCAGGTTTTCCAAGAGCCCGTAGGACTGATGTTTCCCTGATTGTCTCCACTTCTGGTTCCAGGGGCTCTTGCCTCTGTTTCAGTCACACTTAGACAAATCAAATGCAAAGCTCAGAATGTCCCCCACATCTGTAAGTGTCCTCGCCCCCTAAGTACTCTGAGAGCTTGGTCATTTCTTCTGGAAGCGCAGGCACCCCGGGCCAGGTCTCCTGCTGAAGCTAATGCATTTTGTTATCTAACTGGTTCTTCTTGCTCACCACCTTCCTTTCCCTTCTGTCCCAGATAGAAATGAGGCTCCTTCGATAAATACGTTGGGATCACCCTGTATGTACAAGCTTATCAAAGCATTTCTCCAAGCCCCAAGCTCTCCCTAAGAATTGTGCTGAGTAAACATTTCTGCATTAGATCACACTTTCAGTCCTGGTCTTCAGAGTGCAGGTCTTCAGGAAGCTCTGACTCCCACTGGCCAGGGCTATCGCTCCCTGTCACGGTCCCCAAGAGCAGCAGTTCTCTAGGTGGACTCCCAGGGCTGGCAGCTTCAGCATCACCAGGCCCTTGGGAGAGAGGGAGATGGTGCAGCACCCCAGTCCCTGGGTGGGGCCAGAGGCCTCCAGGGCAGTCTTACCCTTGTCCTCTGAGGCTCTCTCCCTCCCAGGAGGAAACAGGTCCACTTCCTGCCCATCAGGAGAGCAGTTTCTCCTGGGAAGCTGTAGCTTTTCACTTTACACAAGATGCTGGGGTCTGTCAGGCCATGCTCAGCCCTGTGTTAGTCAGCGCCATGAATCAAACTTTCCTATAGTCTGTCATGAGAGGCCAGCTGGCCACCAAAGCAGGTAGAAGCGAAGCCCCTTCCATGGATACTACTGCTTTGAGAGGCCAAGAAACAAAACATGGAATCTCAGGCTTTGGGGAGGGGGAGGATTTCCTGGAGGCAGCACGGTTCTCCTGGTCGTCCTGAAACCACCATGTCGAGAGGGTCCTCTTGTTGCTAGAAAAGGAAAACCAAACCGCCCGATGCCTCGTGTGTGCGATTTTGATCCACTTGTGCTGAAGTCAGACTTCCGTTCACAGCATCCCAGAGCACAGACAAAGCTGGAGTGGGAGTCAGGGGCCAAGCATAAGGGGTCTTGAGAAGCATTTCTAAAAGTTGGGCTTTATCCTAAGAACAATGGAGGACCCTGGAAGACTTCTGGTGTGGGAGTGACTGCTCAGATTTTAATGTGCGAGGCTGGGCTGGCCTCACTGCAAAAAAGAGGATTGGAATGGGGCCTGTGTAGGGTCACAGAGAATGGATGCTAGGAAACAGATGAGGGGAATTCCAAAGCAGCTTCAAATAGGACATTGCAGTGGTGACTGAGAGAAGTGGCCAGATTTGCAGGGATATGGAAAATGGAGGGGGAAGGGAAAAAAATACAGGTAAGTGCTGTGTGCTAGGCTGGGTCCTAGGCACTTCACATTTTTTAAAAGTTTCTTTCTTTTCTTTTTTTTAGTTTCTTAGAGACAGGGTCTTGCTATGTAGTCCAGGCTGGTCTTGAACTCACTGTGTAGCCCAGGCTGGCTTTGAACTTGTGGTAATCCTCTTACCTCCACCTTCCAAGTGCTGGGAGTGCTACCATGCCCAGTCTGATGTATAAAACTCACAGTGAAAACCTGTGGAGTCTTACTGCTATAGTCCTTATTTTGCAGATGAAGAAACTGAGGCACAGAGAAGAGAACAATAGGCTCAAATGGTTCCTGATTGGATCAAGGTGTGAAAGTGAGGGAAGACGGACTAAAGGGGGGAGGATTGGGGGTTTTCTGTCATTGTTTTTTGTCCTTTTTGAGACAGGGTTTCCCTATGCAGTTCAGGCTGGTCTTGAACTCATTTCATAGCCCAGGCTGGCCTTGAACTAGCAGCGATCCTCCTGCCTCACAATGTTGAGTGCTGGGATTACAGGCACGGGTCACCACACCCAGCAACCGAAGCTTTGGTTTCTTATGGGAGTACTGCAGGGCTGTTGGTGTCCCTCCTTGAGAAGGGGAATGTGGGAGGAGAAGCAGGGTTTTCGGGGAGGGGAACAGTGAGTTCTTCCTGGCCTTGTTGGGCTCCGGAGGAGGAGGCATGGAGCCCCATCTCCTTCATGTACTCTTTTTAAGGCACCCCAGTGTGATATGATTTAAGCAATTTTATCCAGAAAGGGTTATGCTAATAAAAAAAACTCCTGTGTTGGAAGGGAGAGAGTTTTAGCGAGGTGGGACGGCCATTGTGGGTTATTTTTAGGGCTCCAGGACTGTGCTTGGCTCCGGGATTTTTATCCCTGAATCATGAAAGATAAACCCTTTGTCTTTACATGGGTGGCCACCACGTCTGTGCATTTAATTGTCTTGTTTTGCATGGAAAGCCACTTCTTTGGAAAAGAGTTTGTCACCCAAGGGACCAGAATGAATCGAGTAAATATGTGTTTAGCCATTTTCTAAAAATCTGTAGTTTATCCCAAGAGACCAGGAAGGTTTATGTCTCCTAAGTAAACAGCCATTAAATGGTATATTAAAATGTATATTATATACCTGAGTGGTCCACAGAGTAATTGGGCATCTTAGGAATATTTTAAAACATGTGTCCCACATCCCTCAGCGCTGTTCCAATCCATCAAGTAACCATATACTTAGCACATGTGTTCTGCACAGTAAGAGTCATTTTATGAACCCTTGTTAAAGGGAACAAAACTAAAAGGCATCAGCTGCAGTCTGTTTTTCAGAAGTGTTTATGCCGACCAAATGCAGACAAAGGGAAACAAAGCCAGAGGGAAATATCCACCATCGATGGCGCCCTGCTCCCTGACTGGGCGGTACCCCAAGGCGGACCTGGACCAGGAAGATCGAGCGTTAGACTCACTTGCACACCTTCTGCAGGTAGGCTAGAAGCTGTCAGAAAAAAGGAAAGGGGAGAGGGGTTTACAGCACTGGCACAGGTTATAGCCCCCAGGGAAGCATTCACACTTCCCTGCAGAGAATGAAAAGCAGGTGTTTTGGCAGCTGGCTGGCAATAGAGAAGAAAAAGGCCAAGGTCCAACTTTCTCCGGTGTGCTATGGTGGCCAAGGAGATGCAGCAGATGGGAGGCGAGTTGGGCACTTACTTGGTGGGGACCCTAGCAGGAGTGGAGGATCCCCCTAGAAAACTCAAGGATTTGTGGCTAAGGCCTGAAGGCAGTGGCTCTCCTGAGCTCCCGGGGAGGGTTTCCAACACCTGCCGGCATCTCTGAGCCATCCCGGCTCACTGCTGTTCTCAAGGAGACAGCACTTCACACCCCTTTGCTTCCCTGGTATTTTAGCTCCTCCTTCATACTCAGACAGTGGTTTTTGCATGTTAATTCTGCCGGCTATAGGGAGTGAGATTCTACTAAGCCTGCTCCCCCCACATCTGAGAACCACTGTAAGCCTTTGGCTCCTAAATAAAAGGAATCAAAGCTGCTTCTAAAGTGGAGGGGTTTGGCAGTGAAGGTGAGTTAGGAGCGTCTGAGCCAGAGTGACAGTGACTGATTCTGAAGGTCCAGAAGAGCTTCGCAGGACGGAGAACAGCTTCTTTTAAGATCCCACCAGAAGGCCTGGGGTTGGCCAGGAGAGGAAAGTACATGACTCCCCAAAGACTGCATCCACTAAGCCAGCATGAGAAAGCAGGAAAAAAAATGTAGGCAAACAGGAAGGTGAATAATAGGGAGGAGTTGAGAGGAAGTAATAATTGGAGAGGAAATTTTGAAAAACAGAAAAGGAAAAGTAACTTTTTCTGGGGAAAAGCCAGGCCATGTCACACTGTAAATTTTTCGAGGGTTAATCAGTGATTCACTCACTGTGGACTGTTTTTTCTCCGTTAGGAAGGAGGAGAATTCACTGTGTCGGGATGGATGGTGGCACCCCTTGATTAACTGTGGTATTAGAACGGCTTGTATCAGTGGCTATTATCTGGGAACTGGGGAATTCTTTTGACGTTAGTTTTGGACGTTGTCCTAATCAGTTTTAAAGTATGACACAGATGCATTCCTCCAATGTTTAAAGTCTAAAGTCACGGGTGCCTCTAGGCAAGGAAGGAAATGGGCTGTGTAAAACGCCGGAGTGCGTCTCAGCACAGCCTTACAGGCTTAAGAGAACAACTGTGATCTTGGAATCTGCGTCAGGTGAGGTTGTCATGTGGCCTCGGGCTTTATCATTGCTCACATCTTCATTACCAGCAACACTGTGGCTGCACTGGATGGGGGGTCAAGGAGCTCCCACTTTGTTGTCTAACAATCTTCATTTAGTGAGCACATACTATGTACAAGCATTTTCATGGGGACTTTGCACTTCTCCTGCCTGACCCAGCAACCTGTCTTTATCTACTTCACTTCACACATGGGGAGATCCCAGAGGTGCCTTTGCTCTTTAGTGCTGTAGGCAGAGCCACCTAGCAGCAGTGTCCTCACTGAACTGCATTATGAGCTATTTCTTTGCAGAACACTGGCTTGTCAGACTGTATTCCTCACATGGTAGAAGCAGGGCAGCAGGTGGGGGGTAGTGGTGGAGAGGTGTCACCTCGGGAAGAGGGGACAGTTGAGTAAAGCCTGAAGGAGTGGAGACATGGTCTAGGGGAGAGATTCCAAACTGTGGGGATGACAAGGGCAAAGAAGTAGGGACAGGAGTGTAGCAGGGTGCTGTGTGCCCAGGAGGAGGGGCTGCAAGGGATAGGAGAGCAGGGAGAGCTCAGAGAGGGGGGCAAAGCGGCAGAGGCAGAGGAAGCAGGCCCTCGGAGACCACTGGAAGGACTGCGGCTTTCCCAGGAAGGAGGAGTCATTGAAAGCTTTTGAGTGGGAGAGGACGATAGTTCTAATTTTTTAATCGGCTCACTTCAGCCTCTGTGCTGAGAACAGACTATCTGCAGTTTTATAAGACAGTGAGGACTGGTGCAGATGGACTAGTTAGAAAGCTCTAGAATTGTGCTGGTCCGTGTTCTCAGAGAAACAGAACCAACTGATAGAGACTGATAGGTAGGTGGGTAGGAAAGGAGAGATTTACTATGCGGGATTGGCTTCCACCATCAAGGAAGTTGAGAAGTACCACGATCAGCCATTTGCCAGTTGGAGCCTCAGGAGAGCCGGTAGTGCAGATCTAGTTGAAGCTCCGAAGCCCAAGAACCAGAAGCGCTGGTGTCTAAGAGCAGGAGAAGATCGATGTTCCGCTCAAGCAGAAGCACATTTATCCTTCCACCACCTTTTTGTTCTGTTTGGATCCTCAGTGGCTTGGATTACACCCACCCACATTAGTGAGGGAATACTCACTACACAGATTCAAATAGTAACCATTTTGGAAACACCCTGCAGAGACAACCACAGATAGTATTTTACCAGCTATCTGGACCTTCCTTAGACCAGTCAAGCTGACCCACAGAACCGCCCATCACAGGAAGTAATCCAGATTTCCAGTCCGCTGCCTCCCCAACATTTGCTCCATTGATGGAGACTCAGCTATTCCACCTTCACCCCTTCCTCACTGTTCTTTTGGCTGCTGACTTACAGAAACTCATCATTCGTCTGAGAGACCATTGCGGAGCATCTGGGAGGAGTCTCCTCACCCCTATCTCTCAACTGCAAAGCTCTCCTCCTTAGCGCTGCTAGTGGAACTGCCTTCACACAGACTGAGCCAGGCATGGTGATGCATAGCTAGAATCCCAGGTACTCATGAGGCTGAGACAGGAGGATCAGAAATTTGGGACAGTGCCTCAAAATTTTAAAAAACAAATTTTTTTAATGGCTGAAGGTGTGCCTCAGTGGTAGAGTGCTTGTATGGTTTCGATCCCCAGTGATGTTGAACCATGCATGTGCACGCGCGCGCGCGCACACACACACACACGTTGGAGATCATCACTTCTCTAGACAGCTTTGCTATGGCAGACGCTGAGGAGATCAAAATATGGTAACAAGATAACCCCTGCCCTAGAGGCAACCCCCTGTGCCATAGGAGAGGGACACAGAAGAAATGACCTGCAGCACCAAGTGCTGTGTGCCATGCTGCTAAGTCCGGAGAGTACAGAAAGAAAAGCAAGGTCAAGGGCAGAGATGGGTGGTTACATTAGGCCTAGGCCTTAATGCATGAGAAACAATTTCTTGGCAGACAGGAAAAGAGAAAACAATTTGCAGCAGGAAGAACAACATGGGTCCATTCAGCCTGGTCCAGGAGGAGGGTCTGACGCTCCTCCACACCAGGGAGCTTCATCTCTCAGTGCAAGCTTCGGATTAGCCCAACTCACAGTGACTGACATTAACTTTTTCGTTTAAAATTTTTAAAAAATTTGACTTTACTTTTTAGAGCAGTTTTCGGTTCTTGGCAAAGTTGAGTAGAAGGGGCAGATTTTACATCTCTCCCTGCCCAGACAAATGCAGTCTCCCCACTAGTGATACTGGTGCCACAGTGACACACTTGTTACAAATAGCTGACACATCATTCCCATGCAAAGTGTACCACTGATGTCTTGTATCACAGCAGTATTTTCTCGCTCTCCTGAACACAGGCCTTCATGTATGCACTCTAATACTACAGTCCTATTCCTTTTATAAATTTTATTTTGACAGAGTCTTGCTGAATTGTTGAGTCTGGCCTTGAACTCCAGAGTAGCTGAGATCACAGATGTGTGCCACCAGGCTGCATCAGCACAGTGATACATTTGTTACACATTTTTTTTTTTTTTTTTGAGACAGGGTCTCGCTATGCAGTTCAGGCCGGCCTTAAGCTCACTTTGTAGCCCAGGCTGGTCTCAACTTACAACGATCCTCCTGCCTCAGCCTCCCGAGTGCTGAGATTACAGGCATGCACCACCATGCCCGGCTTTTTGTTACAGATGGCTCACACTGACACACCATTACCATGCAAAGTCCATCGTTTACATTAGGGTTTACTCTTGGTATTACATGTTCTATGGCTTTGGGAAAATGTGTAATAACAAGTATCCACCTTTATAATATCATATGGAGTGGTTCACTGCCCTAAAGCCCTCAGTGTTCCGTGTGTCCCCTTCTCCCTTCTCCCCCACTGTTGGTCTTCATAGAGTTTTTTGGTCTCCATAGTTCATCTCTCCCTTCCCCCTCACTTTTGGTCTCCGTTTTCAGAACACCAACTAGTTCACTCATAGTATACAGACTGTTCAGACTTGTTTCTTTCACCAAGCAATATGCACTTAATGTTGGGCTGCATTTCCTTGTGGTTTGATAACTCATTTCTTTTTGTCATCGAATGCTCCTCCATCATCTTGATGTACCACAGGTTGTCCACTCACCTGCTCAAGGGCATGTTGGTTATTTCTGAGTTTTGGCAGAGGTGAATAAAACTGATATAAACATGCATGTGCACAGTTTTGCATGAACATAAGCTTTCAACTCCTATGGGTAAGCTGAGCGTGGTGGTGCATGCCTGTAATCCCAGCACTTTGGAGGCTGAAGCAGGAGGATCATTGTGAGTTCGAGACCAGCCTGGGCTACAAAGTGACTCAAGTCCAGCCTGAACTGCATGGTGAGACCCTGTCTCAAAGAGACAAAAAACAAAAACAAACAAAAAAAATTAAAAACTCCTATGGGTAAATGCCAAGTACCATGATACCTGGATGTAAAAGTACATACAGCAGTTTAGTGAGATCAAACTGTCTTCCAGAATGGCTGGGCTGTTTTGCATTTGCACCAGCAATGAATGAGAATTCCTGTTGCTACTATGCGTCCTCACCAGCATTTGCTGTTGTTCAACTTGCATTTCAAATAAGAAATCTTTCTTTTCAATTAATTTCACAGTGTGAATACCACTAATAATGGAGTGCATCTCATCATTACAAAACACGTTAAATGTTTGGGGCAATGAATACATTAATTAGCTTGGTCCCTTCCCCACTGTTGGGCATTGAACCAGGGGCCTCATGCATGTTGAGCATTTAGTGTACTAGTGAGCTACACTCCCAGTCTAAATCGCTTGATTCAGTCATTCCCTGTGCACTTTGTACCCTGTAAACTTCTACAAACTATAATCTAATAGGTGATCAAAATTTTAAAATATTTTCATTTTTATTAGTATATGTTTGCAATACACAATAGTTACATTCATCTAGGGGAACGGGTATGTATACATACTGTGTCTTGATCATGTTTTCTGCCCCTTCCTCCCCCTCCCCTGCCCTATTCACTCCCTTTTTCCCCAGTATAGTAACATTGTTTAAAAGAATACTAAAAATTAAGAAATCTTTCTCACAAGCCAACCAGAGTCTTGTATTTGCTCGTCGCTGGACTTCTCTTCCCTGAGCAAACCTCCACAGGAAACCACATGAAATTCGGCAGATGGACTGGCAAGCGGGGCGAGCGAGAGGAACTGCCTGGATGCTCTTGTGGCTAGCGCCAGTCTTGGTGGCTTATGGCCTTAGTTTGACTATGGCTTTGTGATGGGAAAAAGTTACCTTTTTGTACTGATTGCTACTTTCTATGCAATGTACAATCAGAGCTGGGGTCATCCCTGCTCCATAGGGCAAAGACATTTAATCATTTTTATGCCATGACCTCTTTGGCAATCCAATGAACCCTTGCACACCCTCAATTCTTTTTTTTTTTTTTTTTGAGACAAGTTCTCACTATGCAGTTCAGGCTGGTCTTGAACTCACTATGCAGTCCAGGCTGACCTCAAACTCAAGGCAATCCTCCTGCCTCAGCCTCTGGAGTGCTGGGGTTACAGGAATGTGTCACCATGCCTGGTATGTAGATCCTGGTTTTTAGATCCCTTTTTGGGATAATATTTTTAAATACTATGCATAAAATAAAATTCATGATACCAAGGGTACCAAATACAGATATCATGAAAATTAGGGTATAGTGACTAGTTTGTTTTTACAAAAATATTAACATTACCTAGCTGAGGGTGGTGGTGCATGCCTGTAATCCTAGCACTGGAGAGGATGAGGCAGGAGGATCACCATGAGTTCGAGGCCAGCCTAGCCTACATAGTGAGACCAAGGCCAGGTTAAACTGCATAGTAAGAACCTCCCTGTCTCAAAAAACAAAAACAAAACAAAAGAAAAATTCAAAATAAAAAAACCCCCAAACCATTATCTAACAAAGGCTCAGTGGTAGAGCTCTTTGCCTCCCATGTCTAAGGTCCTGGGGTCAATTCCCAGCACCAAAACAGCCAACCAACCAACCAACCAAACAAACAACCCCACCCAACATTATCTAATGGTAATAAGTACTGTAACTTTTAAAGAGTGCAGCTATAATACAATTTGAAAATATTTGGAATATAAAGAAATTTCAAATATAGATTAAGGAATTTTCCAATTATAGGTTTAGGAAAATAAAAATAACTATATAACATTTGCCACTCATGTTTATTGAGCCTGAATTTTATCTATATTAAATATTTCTGCTTAAGGTGATAGCTGTGCATATCTTTACTTGTACCTCTTACACTGTATATGGTTTTATCTTTTAACCCTTTCCTTGTTTTAACTCTTTATTTGAGGAAGGGCATCTCTTTTAGGAAGCCTTCTCAGACTTACCTAAATAGGTCTGTTCCCCATAATTTCTTTCCCAGGCACCATAACCTCTTTTTCATACATTGTTCAAGTCCTCCCGACATTTTTTTTTTGAAACAGAATCTCACCGTGTTGTCCGGACTGCTCTTAAATTCCTGAGCTCAAGCAATCTTTCTCCGTCAGCCTCTCAAGTAGCTGAGACTACAAGTCCATGCCTTGAGTTTTTCCCTTAAAAAATACTAACTATAACTTGTTTTTCATAACAATATAAATAATACATCATTGCCCCAATTTTGAACATTGCAGTAAAGCACAGGGAGCCAATGAAAATCACCAGCACCTGAGATATTCATTTTTCAGTCAGTGATAAGCCAGGACAGGATAAACCTGCCCATGTCGCTGTGTGGTGTTTTGGTAATTGCTGGTCTCCCCCACTTAACTGTAAGTCCTATGGGGGCAAGAAACTTATTAGTAGTAAAAGTAAAAACCGAAGATTGAGCACTGAGCGGAGCTTTTGTCTTGTAAGAGGGCTTGAACTTTTCCAGAACCTGGGCTATGGTGGGGAGGGGTTAGCAAAGGGGAAATAAGGCAGGACTTTCAAAGGCAAATCTCCTGCCCAAATCTGTGTCCCATGCTAGTGGTGCTGGATTTGTTAGTTGGGCAAGCACTGGGCTGCCCCAGTGTCCCCTGGCATCTAGCTGCCTCCTGTTGGTGGGCTGGGCAGTGAGCTCAGAGTTCATTGTCACTATTTGCTCTCAACAATGTCTGGTATGTATAGATTCTCAGTAAATCTCTACTGAACTTTTGTTCCTCTGTATACCCTGTAACACATTGTGACTTGGTGTTGATTTTTGAAATCTTCTTTTGCCTCTTTGAGACATCCACTCCTGGTCCTCTTGAGTAACTGACTTTCCTGCTTTCATCTCAGACAGACTTTGAGTTCTCCTCTCTACTGATCCAGCGGCCCCATACACACCCTTTCACAGTCACCTGAGAACTATAAAGGGCTCACCCGATGCAGGGCTTCTCTTGCAGAAGTCCCCAGTCACTCCAGAGGCGACCTCTTCGGCTGCTGAGAGCTGACAACAGCAATTCTTCTCCCCAGAGAAACCTTCCCAGATCATCCTTCTAAAGTAAAAGTTATGTTGTCTTCCTGGTGTGAGAAACTGAAAGACTAAATAAGGACCAAAATGTACAATAGATATTGTGAAATGGAAAGAAACTGTTCAAAGGGAAAGAGGAACCAGGGTGGGAGAAAGGGGGAAGGAAGGAAGAGAAAAGAAAAAAAACAAAACAAGATAGTTGTACTACTAATTTCTCTTAGTTCCTTAAAAAGAAAGATTTGGGCTAATATCATTTCAAACTACTTTGAAGATAACAATATACCTTGTATTAACCATTGTTATTCTCCTATTATTTTGTTAGGAAATTTTGTTTTATTTTTTCCATTAAAAAAAAAAAAGTAAGTTGCCCGCCCCATATTAGTCAACACAATCTGCCACAACTAAGTACTGGAGACTCTGTATTCAAACAACAGAGTTATTTCTTAACATTTTTGAAGCCTGAAAGCCTGAGACTGAGGCGCCAGCACAATGGGTTTGAGGTGAGACCTCAGTCCCCGGATGGTAGGCATGGGACCTTGTGACCTCTCCCTTGTGCCTGCTTGGAGAGAGGGGATACAAGCTCTCTGGTCTCTTTCTACGAGGGCACTAATTCCATCTTGTGGATTCTGCCTTCCTGATCTAATCACCTCCCAAAGGTCCCATCTGCAAATACCATCACACAGGTGTTATGGCTTCAATGTGGGAATTCTGGGGAGATGAGAACATTCCATCCATAACACTTTCCAGACACACCATTCACTTTCTATTTCAGTCCTTCGTTGGCTTTCTTCATAATATGTCATTATTGGTCCTTGTTTTCTCAGTTCTCTTGGTCACATCCATCCTCTCAGATAACATAACTGTCTCTCCTACCATGTACCCCCATCTCCCGAGATGTAATACATGGCATTTCTAAGTGCCCAGCAATATTTATTGACTGAGTGTAAAATGAATAAGTGAATAGAGTAATTTCTCAGGCAGCTCACTGACACCTCAGCTTAAGGAGCCTAGTTGCTGTGGAAATTCCTCACCATACCTGTTGTCACTCCAGAACGTGAATCTGCAGGACATCTGCCACATGCTTACCAAAGTCTTCCCATTTTCTAGGCTCTTCTTCATCAGTCCTAACACTGTTGCTCTTGGACACATGGTTTTAGCCCATACCATGGGATTAGTCACGGTTCTAATGTTTCAGATTCTTTTTGGCACTCATGACACATTTTCAAATTCCTGAACATTTGGTTGTGCACTTAAAGAGATTAAAAGATTCAAAGTAAGACAATAGAAATAAGTGGTGATTGCAAAGCACTGTCTCATGGTAACTTATCGAAGTGTCTATAGTTCCCACTGGAGCATTACCAACTTACTCCCCTGACTACAGATCTATCCAGATTCTACTATTAGGTGTGATTCTGTACCATTTAACACACCGGCAGCAAGTTGTACATAGCTCTACACCACGTTGCAATGCCCCTGCCTAACACCGCTGTGATAGTATGCAACCCTGCAGCAAAAATATATTTCATACTTCATTCTAAACACGTAGACCTACCTGCTTGGGGTTGGCAGTCAACCACTTACACGTCACCGGACTAGCCTTTTGCTGGTCAGTCTTCTCATGCTCATCTTGAACCAAACATGAAAGGCACTGTTGACATTCTGGCTTCTTCTATTGAGTAATATAGTCACGCACCAGATCATGGTCAGCATTTGGTCAGTAAAGGTCACATGTATGATGGCGGTCCCCTAAGAGTACCAGGGAGATGAATAGTTCCTATCGCCTGATGACATTGTGTCCTCATAATGTCAAAACACAACAGATTACGCATATATTTGTGGTAATACTGGGCAGATAAACCTACTGTGCTAGCAATCGTATAGAAATATAGCACACACAATTATTACGGCCTTATGTACTTGCTACTCTTTTTATTGCTATTTTAGAGTGTTCTGCTACTTATACAAAAAAAAGTTACTGTAAAATGGCATATCTTGTTACACTGGCAGCAGCCTTATATGTCTGTGCTCACTGCACCAAGAGACTACGTGGGAAGATTGACCCATGCCATCCAGAGTCAACTGTGTAACGCACTCTACGATGTTCGCACAAGGACAGCATCCCCTAGTTGTGCTGTTCAAAAGCGCCCTTGCTGTGAAGTGACACTTGGCTGTGCTTCTCCCTGTAAGGGAGCACTGGGTGTTTCTAGCTGTGGAAGAGAAAGAGAATTGAGAGTGAGGTAAACTGTCCCAGGCCAGAGCAGGACCTGCACCAAGAACAGGCACTACCGATGGGCACCTGTGGCCACCCACACAGTAATCAGAGGGAAATATGCAAAGCCCAAACCAGCTGAGGGTCCAGAAGAGTTCTCTGTGCAGGTCCCACCCTCTGGTTGACCCCTGGGACACCCATCCTGATGGCCCTCTACCTCCAAGCAGGGGTTATCAAAACCCAAAGAAAGATTCAATGAAGGCCAAACATTCTGTGGACCAGGACATAATGATATGCAGGCAGAGAGAGGAGGTTCATGCATAGGAGTTCAAAGTGGGCAAGGGCTAGGGACCATGTGGAGAATAGGTGGCTGGGGTCCTAGGAGTGGAGCTCAGTGGTAGAGCATGTGGTAGAGCAGGTTCAATCCTTAGCACACACACACATGCATATGCACATGCATACACCAAAAAAAGGAGGAGGAGGAGGAGAAAGAAGAGCGTAGGACAGGGTGGTTGTGTGCTACCTAGGTTACATAGCACACTGCATTGCTGAGCTGTGAGACACTGGTTAGGAGCTACCTAACAGAAAGGATTAAACAAGGGTTATGTGCAAATAAAGTGAAAATAATTGCAGAACCAGAGGCTCCACATTTTAGCGGAGGAAGGTCTGGGTAGCTGGGTTCCTCCATGGCTCCAGGTGAGGACCCAGGCAGCACTGATACCCCATATCACTAATATTTTTTATTCAGATATATTAATATCTCAGTAGGGGTTTATCCAAGCTCTGGTCTCCTTGCCCTCTTACCACTTTTTACTTAGCTACAATTTTATATTTGGGAGCTTATCCACTATAAAAGGTAGTCTCCAAGAGTCTGTGAAACTCAAAGTAACTAATTTCCCCTGGTGTGGCACATACCTGTAATTCTAGCACTCTGGGAGGCTGAAGCAGGAGGATCACAAATTCAAGCCTAGCCTGGACAACTTAATAAGACTCTGTCTCAAGGAATTAGAAATGAAAACAAAGGACTGGGGATATAGCTCAGTGTGAAGACCTTGTGTACAACCCCTAGTACCCCAAAATAACTAAACAGATGGTTTTACTATTATATATATAAATTCTGGTTTAAAGATTTGTGTTTTGGATGTATGTATGTATGTGAGATTAAAATGATAAGAAAAATATAAGATCTCATTATTTTTTATAGTTTTTAATATTATCTATGAAAACACCACTCCTAATACCATTATAAAAAGTAATTATTGTAGAATGAAAAAATTGAAACACAATTATAGATGGAAGTATAGATGCATTCATGAATTTCAAATTTAATATTGTATAGAGTTCACTAGAAAGATTTATTGTTACCAGACATTCCTGTTCTTTAATGTGGCAGAAATGCAAAATTTTATATATTGAAACTTATTAAAGCTCAAGAAGCCTAAATAAGAAATGTATTTATTAAAAACTGAAATATGTAGGGGCTGGGGATTTAGCTCAGCGGCAAAAGCGCTTGCCTGGCAAGCGCAAGGTCGTGAGTTCGGTTCCCGGTACCGGAGAAAAACCAAAAAAAAAAAAAAAAAAAAAAAAAAAACTGAAATATGTTTTTTTAAGTAATAGATAGATGGATGGATTAGATGGATTAGCGTAGAAACCAGAAGTAGGAGACATGCACAGCTATTTCCACTCTCCACTTAAACCTAAAGAAAGGAAAGATTTTACTCACTCATTATTAATTAGGTAATGTAGACAGTCAAAACCGGGAATTTAGGCCAAAATACCCATACTCTGACTCAGCCGTTTAAATTTATTGGCCCTCATCAAGCTGCAGTTACTAATTTCTTGTGTTATACTGGGCACAAGAAAAAAAAATGGATTCAGTTTCAAAACTAGGTCACTGCATCAACAGTTTTGAAGTCAATTTTTATAATTTAACAGCTGATTTTCTCACAGTTCACCCAAACACCAGCTTTTGCCCTGTATACCTTTCACGTACGTATAATAGAAGGCTATAAAGAGTTTTGAACCTATTCTCTTTTAATGAGTTAAATGAGGGTTCAAAAAATAACCCATAGTTCAGAGACACAGCCCTGTTTGAACACCACTATTATTATTGTTTTTTGTAAAAGCCATAGAGTTACAGGGATCTTAAAAACGGTTTGTAACAACAAGGCTTTACGGTTACAAGTGACAGAAAACACACCAACCAGCTTAGGCAGAAAAGGGAAGTGAATTGGAAGGACATCAGAGTGTCTCAGTTATCCGTCAAAGCGAGGGCAGGTATCGAAACACCTGATCTAAACACCACCCAAAAGCTTGTCTCTTGTCTTTGCTTTCTACTCCATGTTAGCAGCTTCCATGTCAATGGGTGAAACATGGCTGCCACGTGGTCCTCAACTCCATTCTAAATACACTCAACACACTTGAGGGCTGGCTGGCTTTTTCTAGCACCATTCTAAAAATTTAAAAATCCAAAGGAAGGACTCTAATTGGCCCAGCTTGGTCAGGTGCCCATTCATAGATGAAGCAACTGTGGCTAGAAAGGTGAAATCATGTTTTAAAAAAAAATGGCAGTTTCAATCATTGGGAAGACCCTTTGCTTCAAAAATGCATGTGAGGAGCCAGGCGTGATGGCGCATGCCTATAATCCTAGCACTCAGGAGGCTGAGGCAGGAGGATCATTGCAAGTTCCAGACCAGCCTAGGGTACAAAGTGAGCTCAAGGCCAGCCTGAACTGCATAGTGAGACCCTGTCTCAAAAAGATGAAAAACAAAACAAAACACTTGAACCCATTTTACTGTGTGGAAATTTATGCTCAAAGAAATAAAGTGATGTACTCAAGGGTCCAACTCAGCTCTTTTTTCTGGCACTCAGTCTAATGCCTGGCTCACTCCTTCACTCTGCTGTTCACTCTGTAGACCCCTCATTTCAGGGTCTTGCTCCACAGGAAAGGCAGGGGCCGGGTGGAGAGGATCGGTGCTCTTACGTTGTGATCAAACTTCTACCCAGCCTTTTTCTGGAGTGCTAGCTCCACCAGCCTTCCTTTTGTCTAGTTTTGTCATACTTCCCTATGGCGGGAGGGTGTATGCAGAAGTGGGAATCCCCTGCTGTCCTCCTCCCACCAGCCCCAGGGACCTCCCCGTGTGTGAGGAGGATCGTCATGGTAACACCTTACACTGAAAGAAGCTTCCTGTTCAAAGTACTTTCTGTGCATTCACTCATTTAACTCTCAAAACAGCCTTGTGAGGGAAATAGTAACAGTATTATCATTCCTATTTTTCAGATCAGAATCGGAGGCACAAGAGAGTTTAATTAACTTGCCTGAATGTGCTTTAATTCATTTTACAGAAGCCGTGAGGTTGCGAAGGGCTGGAGGCTGGACTCAATCCCGGCAGTCTGGCTCCCCCCTTTGCAGTTAAATGGAAGGTAGGCTTTGGCACTGCATGGATGGCTGCAGAGTCAGTGCCAACTCGACTCTGGCGCTGCTGCCAGCCTGGCTTGGCTCAAGGCCTCTCCCTTGTGACCCTACAGCAACCCATCCTGGTCTGCAGCCACCACTTGCTGAGCCACAGTGTCTTGCTCTGGGCCTCCGTCACGGATGGTGACAGCTACCACTGCTGTGGTCGCCCTGGTAATGAATATGCCCTCCCACTGCTGTAAAGAGCCAACTACTCAGCTCCACGTGGATGGCTGCTCCCCAAACTTGATGGCACAGTTTAGGGTGCTCTCAAGGAAGCCTTGCTCTTTCAGGTTGAAGAGAGGAACCTGAATCAGGTCCCACGGAGACAACAGGGATTGCCACCGTGCCTCCTGAGCAGACTTGTGCAGAGCCGCACAACATAGACCCCACAAACACAGGGCCTCTAAGTGAGACAAGGAAGGGATATGTCAACTCTCCGCAACCTCCAGGCGAGTTCCTAGGCCCTCATGGTTGGGGATACCCTTTACCTCCTGTTCAAGGGATCTGTAGTGTAGGCTTTGGAGCTAGACGAGGGTTTCATACAGTCTGCTGCTCACCAGCGTTGTGCCCCTGGTTAAATAAGCTTTTTGTCTATGTTTTGTATTTTGGTTGGTTGGTTCCCTCCTCCTTTTTTTTTGCTGAGACAGGGTCTCACTGTGTAGTCCAGCCTGGCCTCGAACTCATTGAGTAACCCCAGGTTGGCCTCAAACTTGTGGAGATCCTCCTGTCTCTGCTGTTGAGTTCTGGGATTACAGGTGTGCACCACTGTGCCCAGCTCCCTGGTTCCTCACGTACCATATAGAATAAGAATAATTCCATCCACCTCAACATCTTTAATGAAGATTAAGTGAGATACTGTGTTAAAGCTTGTAACAGAGTGCCTAGTGTAAGATAAATTTCAATAAATGATGATAATCATCTTCTTGGCATCTTGCTCCTGTTGGCTGGGCCTCCAAATTGCTACAATTTTTTGAAGGGTCAGAGGATGGCTTATGGAAATAGGGCTGGTCGTGACCGATAGTTTGGTCTCGATGCCTCTTCAGGCCAGGCCCTGCCTGGCAGAGAGCAGTTTTGGTAACTTACAAACGTAGGTGGTGGGTTGGAGCCAGGTGCCTATCTTCATTTGGTGCCCACCGAGACAAAGCCGGCAGTTACTGACCCTCTCTCTGCTCCGGCAGGTGACTGTCCTCCCTCCCGCATGGTGCTGCTGCTGTTTGTTTTCTTGTCATGGCTGCGCCAGCTCATTTCTATCTGATACCATCTGCAGAGAAATGTGACTCTTGCTCTGTCCAAGCCCCGCCCAGCCCGAGGGTCAGCCCTGGCAGAGCCACCTCCGGGAAATGCACCCCGCTTGCACAACACCCTCCCTGCTCACCCCAGCCACTCACATCCATTCTCACCTCTCGACTTTTTAGCCACAGAAGTATGCTTTTTGTTTAATTTTTAACCATTCTTTTGCCTGCTTTTCTTTGGGTTCCAAGTCTAGGAGCTGCGTCTGCTGTGTGTGGTTATAAAAGGTGATACTTGTGCCCTAGGGCACCCTGAGAACAAAGTGGTCAGTCCCTCTTTGTGGGAGCAGATGGAAAAAGCTGGCCAAACACACACTTTCCAGGTGAATGAAAGATGCCAGTGTCCTGAATTTAAACACTGTGTGATTGAAATTTTGCTTTAAAGTAAGTGTAGGTTGTAAAATCCCTATTTAGAGACCCAGTTTGGAAACAGCCCCCCAAGTTTGCCAGCATGCCTTTTCATTTTAAGCAAGACAGCACCGAGGTTTGTGACTTCTCCAGCTAAGATAGCTTGACCTACATATAAGTATAAAATCCCCCACAAGCCCTGGCTCCTGGAAAGTGGAACTCCAGCATATTTTGCTGAGATAAAATGCCATGCAACCTTCTTGGTTTTTTCCAGGAACCCTTCAGTCCTTAGAGAGACAGGACTCCTGGCAGAAGAAAGGGAAAAAAAATCATGCAGATGCGGTTATCTGTAACTAAAAAAAAATAAAAGAAAGAATCGGAGGAGACAAATTAGGAGATAATGAAAATGAGTATATAGAACGTGGCAAAGAAGGTGCCAGTCAGAAGGGAAAAGAATTGCAGGATCAATAATAATAATAATAATAATAATAATAATAATAATAATAATAACAATAGGGCAAGGGGAATAAAATGGTATGTGTAACAGGGAAAGAGAGAGGGAGGACACTTAGACAGGGTCAAGCTGGAAGAACAGGCAGAGTTAAACAGGAGCCAGGGTTGGGGAATCCCAGAATAATCTGTTTACAAAAAGACGGATGTTTGCAAATTCCTACAGTGACTTTAGAGATTCAGATACGAACTAGAAAAGGACCCAAAAGTGTGTTCTAATCAACTGCTACTGGTGTTCTATCTTGACTCTAGGGAATTCTCCTGGCTTGGAACAGACGCTTGGAGAGTTTAGGTTTCAAGAGACTAAATTATCGTCCACGTGGCCTCGGACAGGGCCCGGCCCTCCGCCCAGGCCGCCCCCTCGCTAGCCTGCACGCGTTGTGGGCCGCCCGGGTGTCCCGGGTGTCCCTGTTGCCCGTCTCGCCGGGGTTATTGTTCTCCCGGCAGGCAGGAGGGTGGGACCGGTGGGGAGAAACCAGAGGATGGGGGCGGTGGCATCGGCTGCCACGCGAGCCGGAGCACCCCAGTCCTTCTCACCCTGCCTCTCGGCTGTGCAGCTCAGCCTCTGCGGGTGCCGGGCCTGGGCCCGGCCTGCGATCTCCTGCCCCGGGAGGGAGCTGGCTGCGGCCCGGAGCAGGAAGCCGGGGCGGGCGTCCCAGGGGCGTGCTGTGGCTCCCGCGGCCGCCCGGGCTTCCAGCTCGGGGGAGGGACGCTATGACGCACCCTCTCGGTATTAGAACACTTCACCTCCTATTTATAGACACTCCTCGGCTGCAGACCTGGCTCGCCCTCGCTCTCCTTCCCTGAATCGTGAACGAAAAATCCTACCTAGAATGGAAGATCCTAATACACCATGATAAGAAGCGTTCTATTTTGTTCCTCCCTTTGTAATTCCAAGTATTAAGTGCAGGTCTAATGATCTTTTCCTGGCACAGGGAATCCCTCAGTTTTCGAAAGCTTTAAAACATATACGACTTTATTTTGCATGGTTCCTAAACATGTCAAATGAATTCATGTCTTATAAGTTCGTGAAATATGCTCCAAGAATTTGCACAGGCCGGATAAGACATAAGCCCGCTGAATTGGGAGACTGGACGTTTCTAGTGGTGTTCTGCATCTGCTAAAATCTAGCCATTTAAACGTAGAATTTACGTTTAGAGAGGGACACACAGAAGCAAAGTTTGTCTCCAGATTTTATTTTTAATTGTGACTTTCAGATATCAACTTTATACTTTTAGAGATATACTGCCCTGTAATTATAAATGGCTAAACATAGTTCTTACCTGGTCACGTTAACGTCTGCAGTAATTAGAACAGGGAATTTAGAAAAGCTAGTGTATTTCTCATAATGTGGTTGTTTGTGCTGTAGTCAACCTAAAGAGGAAGCCTGATGATCATCTTTCATCTTGGTTTCTACTCAGTTTCACTTTCTAAATGTCAAAAACTAGAGTTTGCCCCACTGGAGGTTTAAGAAAAAGGATTGGATCTACATCCATAGATTTAGGTTTGCTTGTAAAAGTCTAAGCGTGGTTGATTCCTGTGTGAGTAGATCTATGATGGAAAAATGCGATGTGCCTCTTGCTAACATCCACTCTATCAAGTGGAGGTCTGTGAAGACTGTGGTGCCCTGATACCTCATAAGTAGTTGAAGAACACTACAAATAGCAATTGTTGCAGTGTATTTAAGATACTCATCTGATGATAGGATTCTGTTAATTACAATTTGGCAATAGCCACTATGGTTTAAAGTTTACATAGCCTTGGACCCAGCAATTCCATTCTTTAGAAGTTTATGGTAAAGACACAGTATGCATGTGTAAGGCTATTGGTTGTTGCAACACTTGTTCTAGCAAAAGGTTAGAAACAATATAAATGCCCTACAGTTGTGGTGCATCTATATAACGAACTGTTATGTAGCCTTGAAGACCAAAGCACCTGTTTTCTCTGTTGGCAGGGAAGTGACTCCAGGATATACTGTTAAGTGAAAAACAGAAAGTGCAGAAACGACCAGATTTGGTGGTACACGCCTGTAGTGGCAGATGTTTAGGAGGTTGAAGGAGGACAATCCCTTGGACCCAGGAGTTTGGGGCCAGCATGGGCAACATAATGAGATCCTGTCTCATAAATGGGAAAGACAATGGATGTAGCTCAGTGGTAAAGAGTACCTGGGTTCAATCCACAGTACTCCCCTGCAGAAGTGCAGATGCAATATACACTACTATCATTTACCATAGAAAAATAAGTACATAATACGTGTATATTCTATACAAATGT